GACTTGAGCCCTTTTTTATTTAATACAATAATTTTAAATGACAAAAAAATAACTGCATTTAATATTTAATATTTTGTTTGATTTTTTTGTACGTCACACCATAGAACACATTTGGGTTGTAACCAGTGTTGGTCAAGTTACTTGAAAAAAGTAATCAGTAACTACTTACTGATTACTTCCCCCAAAAAGTAATCCCATTACTTTACTGATTACTTATTTTCAAAAGTAATTAATTACTTAGTTACTTAGTTACTTTTTAAAAACACAATTTACAACCTGAATAGGTGATAAAGCGATAGATCTTTCGTCCCAATTCTACTTTTTCTGCATAATCCATCATACAAAATTGAATCAAATGGAAAAGTCTCTTTTTTAAAACTTGTTTTATTAGTTTTAATCTTTTAACTTTATGGATCAAGCAAAAATTTAATTATATGCACCATTCTCTGACTGGAAGAAATTTGTTTAACATTTAAACCTATTTTCTGCACATTCCAGCACATAAATTATTTTTTTTGTGTGTGTGTGTGTGTTTACACTCAGTCTTTCAAATAGATGCAAGTAAAACACAGCAGAAAATAAATAAAGTCAAAGACTCAGCGGTCCTTTTGCTCAATTTTCACCTGTAAAGCAGGCTGCACGCTCATACTCTCTCCCGCACTCGATATATGATCCACTGTTGATCTGCACACAGCTGTTGTCACGAACGTCGCACTCGCTTACGTCACTGTCATGAGACATTCTTGCAAAAAAAAATCATGGTTTTAGTAACGCAGTAACGCAGCGTTCCTACAGGAAAGTAACGGTAATCTAATTACCGTTTTTGCAATAGTAATCCCTTACTTTACTCATTAGAAACTGTAAATAAATTGGCAATAAACAGTAATTTTCACAAATATTAGAAAATGTTTTTTATCAGTTCTAAAATTATCTTTTCTAAAAATGATGATTTTACATGTACCAATATAATTAATATAAAGGGCTACTCTGTTACAGCTCATTTGTCAACTACTATAATAACTGAGCAACATTTGAACTATTTCAGGGTTTTCTGTTGAATTGTGAAATTCACTACATCCGCAGAGATGTCAATTACTGCTGAAGGTAGATGAGTTTAAATATCTGGGGGCAACCATCCAAACATAAGAGGGGAAGAAGAGAGGTGGAGGCAGGGTGGAGTGTCAGGGGGGACTTATGACAGAAGGAGAGCAGCAAAAGAAAAAAGGAAGTTACAAAAAGTGAGTTTGAAAAAAGAAGCAAGAGAGCAAAGCTGGGTGCGTTTTCTTTTAAACTATTAAATACTTCAACTAATGCAGATGGTTAATCAAATAACATCATCAAAATAAAACTCTACCTAGAAGCTGGTCTAAACAAAAGAAGTCAGAACAGTTAAATGATCAGCAGCCTCCTCGACACAGAGCACAAGGAAGCAGCTGTACAGTGCCGTACGTGCAGTACAGAGACTGACTGTGTCCCAAAACCTCAGCCGCATCCTTCAGAGAACCCAGCCTTTGCGGTCGAAGTGGGCTGGGTCCTTTGCAGACCAAGAAGGCAAGAAGTGAGAGGCTGTGAAACTGGACGGTCTAGCCCTCAGATTTGCATCACCAGCTGACTCAGTTTAGTTTAACAAACTCAGCCGTCTGCTCCTTGCTATCTAAAATATAACAGGATACTGGAGTAAATTCTCGACCATCTCACACTTCTGTTTAATCAGTTTTCTGTTTGACATTTATTCAGCTGTGTGAATTAATAAAGTTTTATTTAATCTAAACTAACTTTAATCTCAGCCAAACAGATTTACTCAGGGACAAATAAAACACTGAGAAAAAGCCAAACGATAACCTTTTTAAGTTATCTAGATGACTTGTATATCATGTTTAACCTATTTAGCGAAAGACGGGGGGGTTGACAACGATGTGCCTGTTCTCACCGGCTCTAGTGATATTTGAAGTTTACACACCTACATCATCGCCTAAAAATATTTTTAAAGTTTATTTTGTGAACCAGAAAGAGTAATAAGAGTAATATTAAAAGTAAGTTGCTGCC